CAGGTCTATCCACCTTGTTGGCGGCGACCACCAGAGGGCACTGCACCTCCTTCGCATACCGAATCGCCTCTCGCGTCGTGTCCTGCGCGAGAGATGGGGAGAGATGGGGAGAGATGGGGAGAGATGGGGAGAGATGGGGAGATATGGGGAGATGTTGGGAGTGGCGCAGCGCGAGCCGTGCCTGCGCGAGATATGGGGAGATATGGGGAGATATGGGGAGATATGGGGAGATATGGGGAGTGACGCAGCGCGAGCCGTGCCTGCGCGAGAGATGGGGAGAGATGGGGAGAGATGGGAGATGTTGGGAGTGGCGCAGCGCGAGCCGTGCCTGCACGCCCGCGTCAAGCGCCACCACGAGCACTATCAGATCCGTCGCGTGCGCGCCTAAGGTAAGGTACGGTACACTTCTCCACACACACAAGGTGGTGGGGCAAGGGCCAGGCTAGTCCCTCGCATCCCCACGCCCGGCCGCGTGCAGGAGCTGGCACGGCATTCAAAGTGCAAGCACTGGCCCGGGGCACGTGCGCACCGCGTTCGCGCATCGCAGCAAACAGCTCGTGGCCCGGCGTGTCGATGAAGGTGGCGCCGAGCTCCCTCCCTCCCGACGCGCCGACCGAAAAGGCAGAGATGGCCTGCGCGTGAGCTCAACAGAGGCATTCTCAAACAAACAGCAGTGCGTCCTACGCGAGAAATCGGCGACGGCCGAGAGGTTGCCTGCGTGATGCCTCCGGCCTCGCCCGCGGCGATGGAGGAGCCACGCAGCGCGTCAAGCAGCGAGGTCTTGCCGTGGTCCACGTGTCCCATCAGCGTCACCACCGGCGGGCGAAGCGGCAGCTCGGCGAGCTCTGCTGCGGACGGCGCCGGCCGCGGGACGGCGTCGACTTGCTGCAGCGAGACGGAGCGGCCGGTCTCGAGGGCGACGAGCTCGATGAGCTCGCGGCCGACCGGCGCGCTCTCCGACGCGAGCGGCTCGCCCAGCGACTCTGCCAGCGCCAGCAGCCCTTCCGGAGACATGCCGAGCAAGCCGGCGAGCCTGCCAGCGCTGCACAGCTCCGGCACCAGCACAGGATCGCCCGGGCCGCGGCGGCGCGCAGCCTTTGGCGCACCGCTGGCCAAGTGCCGCCTGGGCGAGGCGCTGGCGAGGCGGCCATCCAGCGACTGCCACAGCGGCCGGCACAGCAGGCTCCGATGGCATCGGGTCGTCGCGGCGCGCATGCTGCCTAGCGAAGAAAAGAATTTGAGCCCGCCTAGCGAAGAAAAGAATTTGAGCCCGGGTTAAACAAAATCTCTCACAGGAGTCCCTGTGTGGTTGGGCGTTTGATTTGCTCGACGATCACCCTCAAGCAGCATGGTGCGCGCCCCGCCCGCCGGGCACACGGGATACCCGACGCCTCCCGTGCACGCCACGCGGGAGGTAGTAGTAGAGATCGGCAGCGAGCTGAGACGGGTGGATACCCCAGCTCCGCGTGCCAGTAGCCCTGCCACAAGGCGCCAAACAGCACCACATTTAGCGACCACCAGAGCACCAGACGAGGTGCTGCCCGCCGAGGCCCGCGCACGCGAGGAAGCACGAGACACGACGGCGTGTGGGCCGCTCGGCGAGCAAAAACACGGGCGACGCCCGCGGCTCGCGCGGCAAGAAGGCGAGAAGGCGAGAAGGCGAGAAGGCGAGAAGGCGCAGAAGGCGCAGAAGGCGCAGAAGGCGCAGAAGGCCCAGAAGGCCCCCCCCTCCCCCCCACCAACTCGAACTGGGGACCAGCCGGCACGAGAACGGGACACGAGCGAGAGAGCCACCACGCCGGACAGGGAGAGATACAACGGCGAAGCACCAGCTCATATACCTGTATTATTATGCCGCGCGCCTC